GGTTTTGGGTTTTTTTTTTTTCTTATCAGAATGCCTAAGACAATAGTTTTCTTTTAAAGTATATTTGTGGGCACACATTTATTACAATGCTATTTATCTTTGTTTTTTCTTTTAAGTCAGAACAGCCCAGTCCTGCCAGTTCCAGCTCCAGTTCCAGCTCCAGTTTTACACCATCTCAGAACAGCAGACAACAAGGTACTCACAAAGTCCTGCTGCTTTTACGCCTGAATTAGCTACTGTTTCGCTTTACACACTTTTCCTCAGGTGCTTGCAGATATGACTGTAAGCACAAAATAAAAGGGAATGCAGTGAATTCTGCATGGGTTGGAAGCAACTTAGCAACTCAAAGCTGGGGGTCGATATTACTGGGAAGTTTTAAGACCGTACTCTATTTACTTTAGAAATAGGATAGGAGAGAAAGATGGTTAGACTTTAAGTTGACATTAAGTTTACATTTTGGCTTTCTGGCTAATAATTATGGTCTACTCAGAACATAGTAACGAAATACAAGTTTCTTCCCAGAGAGTCTGCCAAAGCAGGTTTTCTGTAAATCAGTTGAGATTCATTCTATATGAGCTATTAAACTACTTAGGGAAAAAGGCCAAACAGGAACTGACCTCGTAAGACTGTACAACTGGTACGTTCTTAATCAGTTTTTGTTTTTTTGTTCTTTAAACCAGGAAGCATTAAAAAAAAAAACACTTTTGACTAATTAAAACTGTGTTTGTTTTATCCTCTTATAGTCTGCAAAGGTAATCTTGGCTTTAAGATTATGAAAGCAGATTAGTACCTCAGATAGATGGTTTGTTTTTTAAATGATCTAAGTATAATGTATATCTGTCACACTGCCTTTCTGGAGGTGCCTGGCAGTGATTTTCTTCTGTATGCCAACAGCATTGTTCCAGTTGTTGCATCTCTTTAGGCAAACGGGAACAGAAATGGACTGTTGTTAATGACTGGCTTCAGGAGTTCAGTTTATAACTAAGGCTGAACAAAACTCCTTCTTGCCTATTTTTGTATTCATGAAAGCCTCATTAGTGATGTGAGCTGCCCATTACAAGCCAAAAGATTTGTACACCCCTTCTTGTATGTGTAACCTTACTTTGGGAGAAAAATAGGCAGTTTAATGTTTTCTTCTAAGCAGACTGGATCCATTCATCTCTCCTGGGCCATATATGAGCATGTCACAGACTGTCTTCCAGTTCCGAACCTTCTCAAGAATAGATGGAAGATTTTTCCTCTGATATGAACAGCTTTGAAATGCAAGTGGTATATCCTTGTCCCCTTTCTTGTCGCAATAAATAGCGATTACTGCTTTCATCTGGGAGTTCCTAGTTAATTTAATGCACTGCCAAGTGTATGCATTTGTATATAGCGTGGGATGAAGCACAAGGCATATATTGTGGTATGTATATGTCACAATATTGTGCCCTTGTCAGAACATATGCTTTATGCCCTAAATAAAAATTACTTGCAAGGGCTCTTTATCCTTTGCATCCAAAATCCAGTGCTCACTCAAGTGTCAGAAGTGCCACAGCACAAGCTTTTGCTTACCTCTTTATGCGTAAACATTGGGCTAATGTAAGGTTTGTCAAGTTTTTTTGCCCTCAATGCTTCCTCTATCTTTTTTTCTCCATTTCCTTGCCAAGAACATTTGCTCTTGGGCAACACCTAGTTTTTGGTGTCTCCTGAATAACTCTGAAGCTTCAGGAGGTAACAAGTAACTTCTCAAACCCTTAAAGGAATTGTCATGGAGTTTTTAATTAAATGTTAGTAAGGGACAGAAGATTAACAGTGACATGGCTATCACCACTAGAGACAAAGATGTAAAACTAATGTTTTACTGACTGTTAAGAAAGGCTGATAAAAAGTTAGCTAGCTGGGTACAAAGTGTCTTTTCAGAGTCCCAGACCTGGTCCCATGTTCAGTGAAAACATGCCTGAATGACAGGTCATTTGGTGCCTATGGTGTTTTCAATGCATTGGAAGTCCATGTTCCTTTTCATTGAAGAGGAATAAGCCAGTTGCCCACCAAAGACGGGGCTGCCTAATTGTCCCAGAAGACAGCATGGCAGTATAAGGGGATAAAATGACCCTCTGCAATACTTGGAAGAAAGAAGCAGGCAAGCGAAAAGAGTTGGTTCAAGCTTGGGAAAGTAGTCTGTATTGGGAGCATGAGGAGTGTGTGCTGTTTTTCGTTCTATTTAAAAGTAAAAGCAAATCAAGAACTGATGCTTATAGGAGCTTGCAGTCCACTGTCAAAAAGTTACCAGGTTTAATGTTCTTGTATGTGTTGCAAGATGGGGTATTCATATGTTATACTACATTTCGTTAGAAAATTAATTTCTGTTTGCTTATTTTGCCTTCAACACCACTATCCTTTTCCTTTGTTCTTTTCCCATTTTGCTTTATTTCTTGGATTATATTTCTTTTCTTTTCCTGTCTTTCATCTGGTCTTTTTCTCGTTCTCTTCGTCCCTGTAGTTTGTGGGGAGGAGAGGAAAGTGTTCTCAAAAGCTGACTTCAGCCTAATATGTGGGGCAAGACTTCTGCGCTCCCAGTGCAGACAGAGAAAGACAGCTGCCTTCAGTAGGAGTTTGAGAGTGGTTGTTAGTGTCTTTCCCTGTCAGGTAACCTATCTGTGTCTTCTGTGACTTACAAAGAATGTCAGGAGATTAGCCTTTCTAGGCTAAAGTGACCTTTTGTGAATACTGGTATGTTCCTTCCTTTTATCTCTCTTCAACAATGGACTCCTTCTCCCTGTATTTCCATTTTAATTCCCTATTCTAACCTTGTAACTCAATTTGTTTAGCTCCCTGTGCCCTGTCTTTCATTCTCTGCATGTCCCAGCAGTCGAGCTGTCCAGTAACAGCATGTTCCAAAAGATCAAAATAGGCAAATTCTTCTTTCATCCCTATGCTGATGCTGCTGAGGGTGTCCTCTCTCTTATGCTTCAAAGTGAATTAGTTTATCACTGCTATTAAAAGACAAGGAGAGAGCCAATTTCTGAGGAGCAAAGGGTTAGATATTGAGTCAGACTCCAGGTTACTGTTTGGAAATAGCTGAGCATTCTCTGCCTGAGGCCCAAAAAGGACCAGAAAATGGAGGACGGATCAGCTACTGTTGCTTTTGCAGATCAGCAGTGGTTGTGTGGACAAAAAGCACTTCTGCATGACTCACTTTTCCTTGTGGCCTATGCAAGTGTCTAGTCTGCCACGAATTTGCCCAGCAGCAGCATCTGGGCTTATTCCGAGTCGACTTTAAGGTGTGCAAATAGAGAAAAGGAACCTGCTGATAACAACCTGCCCGAACTGCGCCAGCTTAACAAAGGCCTTGCGCAGCATTAGTGGTAAGTCCTTCTAAATGATGGCTTTAAAGACACTTGCACAAAATTAGTCAAAAGGCCTGTGACCTGAGCCTCACTAGATCTGAAGTGATCCACCTAACCATTCCTTCCTTCCATGAAGGGGTTGTGATCCTGACGGAGAGAGACCTGTGACTGTAGCTGTGACTAGGGATGACACTCCTCAACTCTATTTCCCCCATAAGCAAAGAAGATGCAAGGTTTGCCTCCCTTTGAAGAGCACTCTAAGGCTTATTTCATTAGCATCGGTCTATTGACTTTCCCAGACTGAAGGAATTACAGAACCCTAATAGTAATCGCTAGTCCTGTAGCCGTCATTGCTTTTGCGTGTTGCTTTTTATGTTCTTAGTTATGTTGTACTTCAGAATTAAGTGCCCATTGGCATCATTCTTGCTTACTTTACTCTTGTAAGTTGCTTTGGCCCATTCTTCTTTTAAGCAACTCTATTGTTTTACATGTTCTAGATATGTTTATAATGCTACTTTTTCCTGTAACTGATTTTACTCCATTTTTGTTGTAAAGGGCAAACCAGAATCCTCAACTGAATTGAATGCAGTTTTATGGGCGAGACAAGCTTCATATCTTGTATTAATTCAAGAAAAGAGAAGGGATGGCATTGTATGGAGTTGATACGCTTTTTAACCTATGAACACTGGAAAAACGCTTACTTGACCTGAAATTGACCTTGAAATAAAGAGAACGGCTAAATGTAAATAGATCAAAACAGGCAGACAAAAAAGACTGCCTTGGCCAGAACAAGTTACAATGAGAATGATTTATTAGACTTTGCTTTTCAATACGTAGATTAACCTAACAAATGTACTATTGCCAATATATCCCAGTAGATCTTTACTGGCACATAGATACTCTTTTAGAAAGCAAGAAATGTTCAGAGTGTGTCAAAGTAAAAGAATCTTATTTCTGTAAATATTTCTCTATTAGTAGTAAAGTAACACTCAATTTTTCCTAAATTAAAACACGTGCAGGGAATATTTGGCATGAAAGTATTTTACGTACTTCAGCTGTTTTCCAAGGGGCCAATCCTGCAAACATTTGAAAATATGAGTCACTTCATTGTCATGAGTAAGTCTGTTAAAGTTGACAGAGCTGCTCATGTGAGTAAATGACTTATAGATAAGTGCCTGCAGTATAAGCCCCCAGCGCATTACTTCAATTATTATTATTATTATTATTTTTATGTTTAAGACTCTCCCCTCCCAATATTGTTTTGGGAAGGTAGTTTTTTGGCATCTGTAAAGCTGGATGATTTGTCTTGTACACTGTAAAGTGAGCTTAGTGTGTGTATGTTTTATTGTTTCTATTGCACAGGTCCACTGCGGTCTATAATGAAAGATCTGCATTCGGATGATAATGAAGATGAATCAGATGAAGCAGAGGAGAATGACAATGATTCTGAATTGGAGAGACCTGTAAATACACGTGGAGGAAGTAGAAGTCGCAGGTGAGTGTCTTATGATAGCTAACAGCCTGATGGCCAAGACGTTGCGCTTGCTAGAAATTAGGTGGGGTTTAATGTTCTCACAGTGCTGAGTAACAAACAGCCAGAGAAATCAAGCTCTTATTTCTAAAAAGTACACATATAAAAGTGCTTTTTCTGAAAACTCTGGGAACTAAGCATTCCCAGTACAAACTATTTGCCTGCTAAACCGTATTGTTATTGTGCTGTTCATCTGACTTACCTTAATCTGATGCCATTGTGACTTCAGGAACTGGTTGAGAGGGTGAACTAGAGAAGGAAATTGAAAAGGCAAAGCAAGCATCAGTCACAGCAATTACGGTTTTAAACATTCTGCTTCCAAACTGCAGCCTTAGTAAGAGCATTTCAAAATTCAGCTGTTCTTCAGGTAGTTTGAAGCTGTGTTTGAATGTTGTTGAAGGCTATGGAAAGCCTGAAACACACACTCTGTCAAAGCTTTCCGTAGTGGGTTCCTTTTATCTGATCCACAGGGCTCTGCTTGTTCTACCCTTTGTGAGCTCATAACACCTGAGTGCCAATGTTAGCAACTGCTTAAGTGGAAAGGTAATAGGAAACTGTTAATGAATGTCAGCTGTTTCTCTAATGCTCTTTAGCAGCTGGAATCAAAGAAGAAAAGACGAAGAAGACAAGCAGGTTGAGCATTTGTTAAAATGTCAGTGATTGTATAAAGGATGGTTTTAGGCTTAACTGGTCTCTACATATAGTGATTTTGTTTCTTTTTTTTAAATAAAACTTAAGGCTAACGTTTCTCTGCCTTCGTTTTATCTTCAGTAACTCTTGTTTTGTTTTTTCTTCCAACAAGTAAATACTCCCTGTTGCTCCAAAGTAAATGGAGGGTGATACTGATAAGGATCTGAGCTTTTGCACATGGCTCCTCCTGAGATGCTGAATTTTTAAATTGTAACCAGGAAAAAGTGTGTTATTTCTGAGGAACATTTTCTTTTTAAGATGACTTTTTAGTCAAGCACTTGTCCAAGCAAAAAGTGCAGATTTTAGAAAGATTTTGGAAGAGCAGAGAAGTATCTCTAAAAAAACATATTCCTCCTTACAGATAGCTGTGAACAGCAAGACAGCCTCACTCCAGGGACTTTGGAAACAGCAGTTAAACTTTCAAACAGTTTAATCATTTCTGTAATGTTAACTGCTGTTAACAGGACAGTGTAATGTCAACTAAGTGAAGGCTGCCAGTCTTGCTCTCCGTGCTACACAGAGCCTTTTCCAGAGGGCAGCTCTGCTCTGATGTCTCTCCACTACTGAGCAGTGCTTTTCCAAGTGGCTATGATTAATGATGGCTTACTTAGCAGAGAGTAATTCTTAGTATCCTACTTCAGAGTGTGAGCCTGGCTCATCCCTGCAAGCAACCCTTTGTCTGGAGGTCTAATCTTTTTGCTGTTTCTCCACAGAGTTAGCCTGAGTGATGGCAGTGACAGTGACAGTAGTTCAGCTTCCTCATCACTACATCACGAACCAACACCATCTTTACTGAAAACCAACAACAACCAGGTAAAGTCAGAATTCATAAATATAAGCCTGGTGTAGGAACATGCTTGCTGCTGGGGAGCTGGTGTAATGTTCTCATTACTTTAGTGCAATTACGTTGCCGGTAAACTGATGTTAGGACTTTTTTTTTTTTCTTCAGGAGACAGGAAAATATCTGGTTAAGCAAATAATGTAAAACAAATTAATGTCAATGGTATTTTAAGGAACGCATCCCTTCTATATGAATTAGCTTTGTAAGGAAAGCATTATAAACCAGCTTTACAGCATCAGTCATACATTTGATGCACTCTTTGGGTTGTATTTGTAGTAGACACAATTCACATCAATGAGTTCATTTTCAGGAGCCTATTGAACTTTCTTTTACCCTCCCCACCAGTGTTTATCTAGAAGACAAAATAGTTTTTACTTCACTGTCAGAAGGAATACTTATTCCTTATCAATAATAGCTATTTTTTGTGTTATTTTTAGGTGGAAATGTAAGGTAGTTTTATGTTTCAGGGGAAAAAACAATGAAATAAGTTAGATCTACAAAATAAGTTGAGGACAAGAGAACTAGAGTTAGACTTTAGGAGATGTCTCACACCTCGTTGACTGAAAAGCAGGGCTCTCTTAAAAAAAAAAAAAAAAGCAAATGGAAAAGTTGATATTTTTAAAACAAATGGTTTTCATAATTTATGAAATACATAATTTGTCACTTATTTTAGGGAGCCATAACTGACTCCCAGGATCAGTTAGACCATACACAAAAACCGTTATGTAGTTTAGTGAAATCCATATGAGAATAAATGTCTGTTTACAGTAGTGATGTAATTAGAATAGCATTTACATGTACTAACAGAGGTTTATGGTGTAGATGACGAGGTGAGTCTTACAGATGAGCCCTTCCTATATCCCCTGGGATATCTGCTTCAGTTCTTTGGCAGGAATGTTTTTTGTTTCATTGTTTTTTCCGATAATGTACAAGTTTACTCATAGTACAAAAGCAAAACATTATTATTCATGTCAGTTAAATTCAGATAAACTGTGGGGCGAGGTGGGGGGCGGAAACTTGGGGAATAGACTGTGCACATAACAATTTTTATGTTCATTAAAAAAAAGGAGATTCCATATCCAGGAACCATTGTAGTATCCATCAGAAACTCTGCAGGCTTTTCTGAACTGATCTACATGTAAGTTTCAAGTTTTTCAGAGAGATTCTTTTTAGAAAAAACTCAAAGTATAAAGATATAGAATGTTACATTTATTGGAAACATAAGCACAAGGAGAATGAAGTATCCGTCTATGACTTGTTGTTTAATGAAGGCATTTGCTTCTGCAGAGGCAATGTTACTGGAAATGTATGTTTCAATGAGCAGCAGCCCACTGAGTCACATCCCTCACGTTCCTTTCCACTTTGCTGACCTAACAAAAAGCCTATCTGCACGTTTACACACTCTAAACAGCAGCAGTGAGCCAGCTAAACGTGAATGCCTCACTGCCTTCTTCCATTTACATAGTTGAGGTGAAAACTGGAAATCTGGGGAAGCTGTGCTTGCTAGCATAGTGTTGCTTCCTAAGATGCCTAAGATGAAGGTTTTGATTGATAAAATCAGTCTTGTACAGGCCAAGTCCATTTACAGAACAAAAGAGCTAAGACTGAGTTAATGTGAATACTTCCATAAGCTTTCTCTGATGTGATTAGTGCCATATTTCCTCTAAACAAGAGTGCTTGATGTGTGTTTGACATCGAACATCTCAAGAGCACGGTAAGGAAATTACTCTTTCAAGTATACTGTGTCCTCATTAAGATTCTATTTGAAAAAGACTATACATTTTAGGACAAATTTTTTTGGGACAAAAGTGTCAAAAAATTACAACTCATAGCTAAGAAATTTCTTCCTTTAAAAACAAGTAAAACATCTAAAAGACACTGGATCCTTACTTACACATCAATTTTATCAAGACAAGATTTTTCCTTTCACTAGCCCAGATGGCATAATTCCAGGGTTGTTTAATCTAAGAACTAGGATTTTTCTTCAGAGAATTATCATATTTTTCTTTCTGGCCGTGCATCACTCTTTGCTAAGCAAAAATTTAGGTAAAATTAATTCAGGTCTTCAGTTCCTTTCACTATATAAGAAAGTTCATGTTTATCTTCCTTATGCATTGTTATAGTGCTGATCACCCTCGGGGGCGTACATGTAGTTTTAATAAATTTTACAAGAGAATGAGAGGAAATTGGAAGGAGCTTATAGAAAGCTATCAGTGAGGCTTCATGGTAGCCCCAAAGAGTTGTTTTTACAGGCCTTCATTTCCATGATTTTCCTTACTGAGTTTTGTACTGTGTTGGGGGGAAATCATGCTATTGATGCTGGTCTTATTTACAATGGCACATAAAACAAAATCTTCATCACCTGTGATGGGTTTATTTTCCTTTGATGTTTTTCAGAAGAGCTGACTGTATTCCAGGTTGAGAATTACAGGGTGTTTTTTTAATTTTACCTCTAGCTCCAAAAAATATTTCTTTGGGGGGGAGGGGGAATCAAAAGAACAATTCTGCTTTACCAAAACCTTCCTCACTTGAGTCCTAAGACTTTCATATTATGCATGATTATCTGCTAATTGTTGACAATACTTTTTTCAACTCTGCTTGAGTAGTGGATGAAGCATTTCTGGTTTGTATATGTGGTAGTAAATGGCTTTGTATTACACTGAAGGAATGGTATAAGTGCAAGACAAATCACTGCTTTTGTCAAGGTTTTTTTTTTTTTTTTGCAACTCATGCAGTCATATAGAATGCTAAGTTTCGGAATCTCTATTTTTCAAAAAAGAGATAACACTAAAAAAGAAGACATATAAAAAACATACTTATATGGCACTTCAAAGGCATTTTTGTGTCTGCAAATTTGGACCTCTTATCCTACCAGCATGCAAAGGACACACAGACACACGTTCAAAATAGTGTCAAGGAGGCTTTAAAATGACATGAAATTAATTCCTTTAAGGATCAATAATACCAGTATCCCCTCATTCGAGCAGTTCAGTGTTTTCTGCTGTAAATTGCTTTTTCTGAAAAGATACAGGCTGTTTGTATAGGTTAAAGAATACAAAAGACCAGTTCTGAGTATGGATTTCTATATTCTTGTTTTTAAGTGATAGCAGGATTTTTCCTCAGCAATTGTGTCCAAAAATGTATTTAAAGATTTTCTTTCTTTTCCAGATTTTAGAAGTCAAAAGCCCAATAAAGCAAAACAGATCTGACAAACAAATAAAGAATGGCGATTGTGATAAGGTAAACATGAACTGAAGAACAATAAACTACCTTACAAGATGGTGTTAATATGTTTTCTGCACACCAACATAAAATAATCATATTTTTTCTTACAGAATGAAAAAATAGTACATATTTGCTTTCAGTTCTTTAAGGGCAGATCTTTCTCTCTCTCCTTTCTTTTTTTTTCTTTCTTCCCTGTATTATTTTAAAAGGGTTTTTCTTTCCCTTAGGGCATGTAGTGACTTTGCAAATGTCACTGGCTGAGAATCTGCTATCTATTATTTTTTTTTTCTGCACCACAGCATAAGTTTGCATTGTGCTTTGCCAAAGAGGTGACAATTTTTGCATAGGAGACTTCACAGTAGAATTTCCAGTCAATACAAAAATATTTTCCAGAATGTTTTCCAAGGGTGTTACGTGTTAGGAAACGGGAATGTGATTTAGCTTGTGGTAACTCTTGCTTAGCATTATTCTGGTTAACAATTAACACAGGGAAGGGCACTTTTGATTAAAGTCATGTCAGCTGGCCATGGGTAAGAGCTCTGACAGTTCCTACTGATTACTACTTTTCTAAGAATTAGTATATTCTCTTCATATTTTTATGTGTTCTTTTCATACTAGAAGGCAAGTTCAGCTGTCCAAAAGTCTTTGAATTTCTGACAGAATAATTTACTTAAGGTTGCTTTATACTGTAGCAATACCTTAAGATTGTTGTGAAGCATCTAACAAAACCCTCAAAGACTTGCGTTTGAGCTGAATTAAGCTAAAGAAAGTCAGCATATTTAGCAAGGAAATTTAGCTCAAGTAAAATTTAAAAACTTTTTGTTTGGGTATTTTTTTGAAGAAATCTGGAAGTTTTTGGAATACAGGGCTATGATTAATAAGCTGTTTATTGGGGGGGGGGGGATTTGTTTCTAGGCATATCTCGATGAACTAGTAGAGCTCCACAGAAGATTAATGACACTGAGAGAGAGACATGTACTACAGCAGGTAAGGAGCGTTCTCATGTTATATGACAGTATGCTCACTGAAGTTGTGAAGTCGTATCTATTTTTATTCCCTTCATCTAAAACCTTATCATCAGATTTAATAGCCTTCAGGCCTGTAGAATACTGCCTATTAGGATTTTCAGTGCAGGCTGGGGAATTGTTATGCATACTGCAAGTTGTTTTGCCAAATTAATTGACAGTTATAAAAAAAAAAAAATGTCTCTTTGAGCTAAATTATTCACCAGTTCATTGTTATGTTTCTCAACATACTGTTTCTCAATCAGTAATAACAAAAACAGCGTAGGAGAATGAGTACAGCTTCGTGCCATGACTTGGCAATAATTTTGAGTCTGCTTTTTCTTGAGAAAGACAGGTATTTTCTCAAAAACAGTTTAATGTTTGCTATGACAAACAAAAATATGCAAATCAATGCAAAACTCATTTTTGGGAAAAAATGCAGTATATCTATTCAGTCTTCTGAAGTCATAGAAGTAGCGAAATATAAAAACGTGCAAACTAAGAAGGTTTCAAACTTATTGACAAGTTATGCAATAGTAAGAATTTTATATTCTTTGTTTTGGATGGCAGTGTCAGGTACTCTTGGATTACAAATTGTGAAAATAAGCAGCATTAACAAAGCAGTTGTAACAGTAGCTCAGATGGTTTGTTTTATTATGTTTACAGCAATTATGTGCCAGTTTTGGAGACTTTGTAAAGAGAGAAAATTTTATGACTTCTACATGACTTCATTCACTCATCCAATTTCTCAACGCTTGGATAAGTGTGTAAAAAATATTTTGCAAGCCTCAGCATTAGTCTGAGTGTTTATTAATTCAGGCTTAATATTGTGAGTAAAGATCAGAAAGCAATTGAGAAACCAGTGGAAAGAAAGTGTTCAGTTAAAGATATTCTTAATTAAAGAGGAATGCTGATGGCTGTGTCAGTTGTGATCTGCTGTGATACACTCATGCATATTGATTATCCTTCATATTTAATATACTATTGTTTCTTAAGTTCATTTTGTCTTTTGTACAAGTTAGTGCTTTTCTGACCAAAGCACTCTGTCAAAATGGTGGAAAAGCAAATTTCTATCCACATTGGGAAATTAGTTTGCAGGAGGCTAAATGATATGAATTACTATATACACTGTCCACTTTACATTATTCATGAATTCTTAGAGAGTCCACATGAAAAGTGAAACTAAAGAAGCTGCTGTATTGTAAAGTCATGCCCGAGCTTTTCCTCCCCAGGTATCCAAAGCATAGCTTTGGAATGATTTCACTTGACCCAGCAGAGCCTGGGGTTAGGTGCCTTCAAGTGAAATACTGAAAAACTAAAACATCTTCAAAACCTGCCTGCAAAGAGAAGATGAGAACAAGCAAGTCCTCCTGAGGACAGCCCAGCAGTGGAGCCAGGACCAGAGGGGTTGTGCCATCTCCGTCCTTGGGGGTTTTCAAGTCCCGATGGGATAAATCCCTGAGCAGCCTGGTCCTACCCCCACTGCTGAGTCAGCTTTGAAAAAGGGAGTGGACTAGAGACGTGCCTTCCAACCTGGATTGTCCTGTGGTCTTAAGAAGTTTTTCAAAAAAAAAAAGAAAAAAAAAAGATGATTCAAATTGAATCTGTACCTTTTCTCCTCCCTTCTCTTCTAGTAGCACTTAATGTGTGTTTTGTGGGGAGGAAGCGCTTAGCTTTGGCAGAAGAAAGATGGGTTTGTCCACTAAAGTTTCTTCAGTCTAATGTTAGAGTATAGTTAAGATCTACCTCATAGGAACTTACTAATAATAGAAAAAGCTGTGTGAAAAGAGACATGACTGAACTGGAAGTTTGACGTATCCTTTTCTGAGTAAATGAAAAAAATAACAGTAGATTTTTGTGGACTTAAAACTGAAGATAGACTTTTTTATCATGAATATTTATCAGAGAACAAAGTATTCATTGGCCTTTGCCTCGTGAGTTATTTAAGAGTATAATTTTAATACTATAACCTATAAATTCTCATAGCAGAGTGTTCAAGCAGTTATATTACAAAAGTTAGGTCTGTTAAGTATCAGTGTTGCTTTGCTTCCTAGGAGATTGTTATCCTTGCAAATTGTTTTCTACAGTCTGGAGTGTGCATAAGCAGTTAGTAAAGCCTCAATTAAAGCTGAATTTATGGCAGGACAGGACATGCCAGGATAGTGGGTATAGTACTTTACTGATGTAGCTGGTAACTATAATATCTGCTGCAAAGATCTAATAGAATGCAGTAAAGAGCCGTATTACTTATCATTTCTTTGTTTGCTAACTTACACTAGCAAATAGTTTATATGTTACAAAACACACAATGTTATAGTGGCAGGAGTTGAGTTTTTAAAGCCTTTAATCCCTTAATTCATTGGTTCTTACAATTTTGTTAGTTCACAGAAATGAATCTGCAATATTGAACAGTGGACTTGCATAGAATCAGTGCGTCTATGTATTACAAATAATGTTGTGTTCCGTCTTAAATATTCTTACTGCTTGCAGCTATGTAAGTAATGCAAAATACTTCCAGTGAGCCTGGGAATAAAAGTAGACAGTGTAGAGCTGAGAATGTTTTCAGAAATGAGTGTGAAACTGCTAGTCAAAGAGACGCAGCAAGTATGTAGAGACAGCAAGAACTACAGAGCACAAGAAAGCAAGGGATGAAACTGTGGAAAAGGAAGGTGGTTACGACATGAGAAGAGGGAGTGAGTGTAGAAATGTGCAACAAAGCTGCAAATCCCTGAAGGAGTTTCAAAGGAGGTTGCTGGGTCGGGCTGGAATGGCAGCAGAGGTATTGTGTTCCTGAACGATGTTTATAATATAGTTAGTTTATGTCAGGGCAGGTAACAATCTCCTGCATATGTCAGGGATTTTAGGGACTTTTTAGGGAAAGGAGTTGCAAGAGAAAAATGAAGGCGTTGATCAGGATTGTAAGCAACAATAAGCAGTGGCTCTTGAAGTAGTACTTGAACTGCTGAGGGACATGACGAGGAGAGGACAGCTTTTAAAGTCTCGGGTGTTATCAACTCTATAGGCAGTGAATTCAGCTGATGTGGAGATGAGAATGCGTATCTGTTTGAGGATGAATTCTTTCCCAAGAGAGGCATTTCTCTTTGAGGCACTGTGTTAAAGGAAGGTAAAATAAATCCACAAAAAGAAGAAGGCAAGAGATGTAATATTGAGTTGCAGGGTCTGGGATACACAGCTAAGTAATCCTGATGTGAAATTACACTTAAAGGTGTCTAAGAATTACCCAGGAGTTAGAAGGCAGGTGAAAATGAACGTTTGACCAAGATGAGTCCTGTGAGAATCACCTTAGAGCAATTTTAATGTGGGTATTGGACCATGGCTAGACAGAAATTGGTCTGAAATTACATTTTTAAGAGCAATTTCTCCCATTTCTTTCACTATAAATAGGGGATATGGGATTTACAGTGATGATGCAGCATTTTTTTCTATAATTTACAGTGGAAAAAGTAGGGGTAATGGAATTTTTTTTTTTGTCAGATGTTAGTGCTGCATGTCCCATATATTCATATTAGTCTGACTAAAGCAGCATTCCTAAATCTGCTTTTCCGGGGCGCACAGTGATAACATGACCCTGTGAAAGGCAGTGAGTTCTGGCAGGACTTTGCCTCTCATGTTAAGGCATCAGAAGTCATACCTTCAGCTGGTTAAAAATCTTATTAACACTAATGAAGTGGACAGCACAAACATAAGGAAGAAACTAAGAGTGCACAGCCCTGCTCAGAATGATGTTGCTCATGTCCACAAGGTGCTTAATTTCAGAAGGCAACTATCTCCTGAGTATTCTCTGTAAAGGGTAGTTTGCAAGTCTGGAAACAATCAGATGGCTTAAAACACTCCATAAATTGAAAAATGACTATGTCATTAGTTGCACTTCAGCTTCCTCACACACACACACACACACATTTGCTTGTTCAAAGGCAGAGAAATAGTTGTAGTATGACAGATAAAGACGATGGAGTGACATTATGAGTACAGAATTATGCGTTACAGTAGTAAAGTGAGGCTTACTTCAACATGAACGAACGGGTTATTTTTGGACTTTGAAGCCTGAGCTCTCAGAATAAAATGTTTTAATGCTATGTTTCTAACATTATAACTGTCAGGCTTCCTAGCAACTAATCTAAACCTTTTCCTTTTTGCAAGTATTTCTGAATAGCGTAAGGATGTGCATGATAATACTTCATGAAGTCATGCATTCTTCATTGATGGCAAACAGGCAGATACTTCCCATTGAGCTGTCTGGGTTTATGCAGATATATTTTTTACATCCATTAAAACTTTTTGGTGCTTCATTTCAGTCTGATTCGCTAGGTGCCCTGACATGGCAGCTGTATGAAGAGCAGGATGGGATTACATTTAAAAAGTTTATATTTCTCTTGGTCTGGGACTTAAAAGCCTAGAACTGAACAATAAGAAAGTTACCAGCTTGTTTAAAATATTTAGTGCTGCTTAAAAATACATGTGGTAACACTTTTTCGTATTCTTTCTTCTAAAATGGAGTATATTGCTCTGGTGGTTATGAGGAGCGGTGTTCTTCCACAGTATCACAAGGGAGCATTAGACAGGATTGTTCAGTGTAGCTGTCTTCACTGCCTCAGCTCCTGTAAACTTGTTCTACAGCTAATTATTTATCACACAATTGATATTGGAAGACCAAGCCTGAGATTAAATTCCTAACTTTACAAAAGGGGGCTGCATTGACTCCTTAGCTTCCATCTTAAAACAAGGCTCACAAAAGTGCCTAGAAGGGAGAATGAAAAATAACATGTATCAGAGTTGTCTTTGGTAGCAATCAGGTTTTTTCCATTTGAATTTTTCTCTCATGCTAGTTGCAGGACAGTAAGAGATGGGAAGGTGTTACAAGACTCCGTGAATCATCAAATGGACAAATGAAGAAGGCAAGGCTGGATTAAAAATTTGCATATTGGAAAAAATTAAAGCCAAGAGACACAGATTTTTAAAAAGCGCAAATAAGCGCAGAATCAGTGCTAAGTACTTCCAGTATTTTATACAGCTGCAAATCGAGTTAAATCTGGATATTCCTTTTCTTTTTTTCCAACCTGTCAAAAGGAAAAATGGTAGGTGACTAGAAAAGGGAATTTTTACTCTAAAAGGCATTTCCTTCTTTTATTTCATTTCCATTCAGTTTCATTCACCATGGGTTACCATTCATCGTCCGACAATATACATGAAGTCAAGAAGATATTTCATTTATCATAAACATAGTTCTTTCCTCTTGTGGTCCATGCAGAGTAAAACAACTGCTTAAAAGGCCTTAAATTTGATCTTTTTCTAGTTAGTGCATTCTTACCAGTTTTATCACTTTAGGGTATGTTCTGTAAACCATGTGTGCACAGGGATCATCTTCAGCTGTGGAAAAAGAACTGCAGTTTGAGTAGCAAAGTTCCAAAAAGCAAAGAATATCAAGCAATGCAGTGTTTCAGTGGAGCTGCGTGTGGTGGTCCTAGAATTAAATGGGTTTCGAGTTGAAGGATTTTCAGAGGCTGGCAAACTCTGATTTGTTTTTCAAAGTCTGTATTATTTCTACTGAAGCTGAAACTATTTCCTTCCAAAGATTAAACATGAGACTAGATCCTTTGACCAGATCAGAGCTGAACAACTCTAAGCTAAGTAAGAGCTTTCCTGGATAAAGGACTGGTCATGTACTGACAGCGTACAGGATCTTGCTAGCCTTGCAAGAGTACCTTTTTTTGGAACAGACCAGATGTTTCAGAAGCTGTTGCCTTTCTGGACCAAAATGAAGTGTTAATACTTGAAAAGAGAACAGGTATACGTCTGTGGTGTTCATCACCTTCTTTGCAAAGCTATCTCAATGCAGAATAGCATCATGCTGCAGAAATGTTGTTAAGCTTTGCAGAAACTAACATAGTTTAGTAAATAAAATTTCAGTGATTTGCAGCCAAGCCTTCAGAAATAATAGTGGTAGCTGAACCGCAGTCAATGGTGATGAGTCCAGTACAGAATCAAGAGTTGACCTACATGCTAAAGTGTTTGTCCACCTCAAGTTTCCAGACAGGATTAAGATCACATATGTTATATGCTGTGCAAACACATCGCAAGACACAGTGTGATCTCTTAAGGACAAGAAAGTATTATTGATGTACATTTTCATTCTTTACTTATGGGAAACTCAAATACACTCTCTTGCACGTTGTTCTGTGTGGATGGATTTATGGATTTACACAGCTATTCGTAGATATATTTGACACTTAAAAGTCAAAAATCATTGCGTTGCTTGGTGGTGGGCTACTCTCACCTTTGTATTTTATCTGTTCAAGCTGTAGTTTCCAAATACACTTTGATTTTGTGGTAGTTGACTTTCATGTTTGCAGGGTGGTTAAATAACGTTGTACCAAGAAGTTTCAAGTGAACTCTTAGTCTGCTTGTGATGTTTGGGGAAACGGACATTTAAACTGGACCAATTCAGAACATGCTAAGCATAGAGAGTTATTTTCCTCTTCCACTTAAAAGAAGTGCAGTACTTGTACTTGTTTTTTTTTTCCTGCTTCATCTCACCTGAAAAAAGAGCATGCAGTCCCTTTCTGAAATCTATTATTAAAAAAAAAAAAAAAAGCTCTGTACTCTTGGTTTTCCAAGCACAGTTCAGTTTAACAAGCTGGGCCTACAAAAAAATGTATTCCTTAAGAATGAAAACTTTTTGTGTTTCTTCATCAGAGAAATGCATACTGCAGTTAAGTACCAGTTCATTGTTTTGCTGATAAGGACCTATTCGTATGTTTATGCTTCTAGCTGCAACCTGTTGTGAAGTTACCTGACCTGTTTTTAAGCAGGCCAGGTTGAATGTTGGAGAGTTTCCTTGGCATAATGCAGACCGTCTCTGAGATGGAGGACAAATCTGCCCAATTAGGATGGACTGTCACTAGGACCTTAGCTTCCTTGTTTAAAAACTAGGCTTTTATCTTTATACTGTGCTGCAGTTTGTGGTATTCTAGATATCCTGAACCACGAGAATAAAACCTAAAGTGGAAAATCAAGGTTCCTTTAATAGATCAGAATGGTTTTGATTTTCAGTGACTCCAATTTTTGAAAAATTTATGCTCAGAATCAAGGGTTGTGATGTTTGAAGCTAAGCATATAGTAAACCTGTTCTGAAAAAGGCCACATCATCAGTGATGAAACAAGCTGCATGCAACAAAACCCTAAAGATTTCATCCACACAGTGACTTTTAAGCTGTAGCACAGAATCCAGTGTCTTCAGGTTCGACATTATGGCTGGACACAGTACAAACATGACACTGAATCTAGTTTGAATGCTGCAGAAGAGATGGTTGGAAAGACTGAGCAGCAAAACAGTGTGCTGTCAGTGCATAACACAGCCAAGAGACTGGGATGCCTTCCCATGTACTCATGGAAGTCTATCTGTTGGAATGAAAAAGTATGTGCAGATCCATGGCCATGGCATGTTGGTACTGTTTTAGCTGTGACAAATAGTAGTTTGGTTTTCCAAGATGGTGAATGGGCTTTTATTTAAGTCGATGCACATCCTGATACTTATCATACCTGGAGTTACTTGTTACAGAAGATCAGTATTGAGTATGACCAGTCTTTCAAAATACAGACTACAGTTTAGATGCCGTGAAATTTGGAAACTTCAAACAGGCTCTAGTTTTTCTAGTTCATCGATAGACTAACATAGTCTATTGATGTTCTTCTCAGGAGCTTATGACAACTCTTCTGATTTTTTTTTGAGGGAAATCTGTGATTACAGATTGTATAGTCACCAAAAAAGATTTTCCCATGCCATTGATAGGAGTACTTCATGGCTTTTCTGTTTAAAAAATATCAATTAATTTAGGTTTGTTATTTAAGAAGTAACTGCTAGCACTAACAACTGTTGTGAGAGCCCTTGAATACAGGTTTTTTTTGTTTGGATTTAGACAAGATTCTGTCAGGATTGTTTTATTTCTCTGGTTTGCAAAACGGGCTTATCCCAGTTATTTTCTGTAGCAACCTGCTTGACAGCTATGTGCATAGTAAATATTCCAGGAAAAGCTCTTCCTGCTTCTTATAAATATCTATGTCCATCTACATATATAGGAATGACTTACTTTATATGCAGGCTTTCTTTTAACATTTGAAAAAGGTATTCTCCATGTTAATGTTTGCTGTAACAACAGATAGGAATAGGCTGGGATTGTGGTTGATGAAAAACGAAACACTACAGCCTGGACCACAGATGGGAAAAGTTTGTAAAGGATTGTGGTTTCATATGAAAATATTGGGGCAAGTGGATTTGTTTCATACCTCTTATAAAGTACTTAAAGACATGTTAATACATGCAGTGGGCATGTGAAACAGCTAGAATTTTCAATTATGACTTTATTTTTCCCTTTCAGATAGTGAATCTGATAGAAGAAACTGGACACTTTCATATCACAAACACAACCTTTGACTTTGACCTCTGCTCACTGGACAAAACCACAGTCCGCAAACTACAGAGTTATCTGGAGACATCTGGAACCTCCTGAGGATTCAGCATCTGGCTGCATCAAAAACTGTTTTTTAGGTGAAACATTCTGAAAGATGCAACCAAAATGAGGAGGGAAAACAAGCCAACCCTCTTCAGCTTTATTTTACCTTAAAGCCAGTCATCATCTCTTGATAAAGGAGAGGAAAAGTGACAAGTCTCAGAGGACCATTCGTCTCAACAAGAAAATGCTCTGGAAGAGTCAGCCTGGATAGCCTTGAAAAACAAACACACACAAGAAAACAAACAAAAAAACCTTGTTCTTAATGAATGTGTATGGTATCATGTATCTCTCTGTGGTGTTCCAGTCCACAAGATGAATGCATGTTCAACACACTGCCTTATTGCATAACTGATCTATTTATTGTTACATACATATATTCCGAAGTCATTGAATGACATTACCAGATGTTGCAAGTACTGGGGTCCCATGTATGCTCCTTTTGATGCAGTACCATTGCCATCACAAGCCTAGTAACCTTACTCATGTTAAAATGCCATTTCTTGCTAACTTTCTGTAGTCAATTAAAACTCTATAGTCTTGTTTCCACTTCTGCCGATCCAGGAAACAAGACACAAAATGGGGGACCAAAAAGCGGCCCTATTTTTTGTTAACAGTCTGCTACAGCAGGTTGGACCACAGGTCCTTGGCTCTACCTGTTTATTGATCTTGGATCATGGTAGAAAGTGTACCAAATAGGATCATATGACTTGCTGTCTAGCCTTAGTCAATAAACCAGTAGGACTTCTAACAAAAAAAAGTTACTGTATGCTGTCCAGAGTCCAGCACCATTTATCATCATTCTTCTGTCTATTTTAATGTTATAATATTAAATATATATAAAAGTGAAAGTGTTTTGCAAGATCATCATAAAAGGAGGAATACTGGTCCTGTTTTCTAAGGAAATGTTGTAGAAAATTCTTAATTTGGAGCTATTTATTACTATGAGTTTCAACATTCTTCTGCTGCCGGTGTGTGACTCACTTTTACCATACAACTATCGGCATAACTTTTTCATTTGTTCATACAGTATATGGTCTACGTGGTCTGGTTTGTCTTTTTTTTTTAAATATGTGATAAATTAAAACCCTTTATTTGAAAAAGGTATATTGGTTGATATACAGTTACATGTTGGAATGCATGCATACATATGTGTGTGTATGTACATACACGTGTATATATGTAGATATACATATATATGTATGTGTGTCTGTGTGTGTCTTTTATGTTTTTCAGATTTTGGGATCTATTTAGTAACCTGCTTGTGTTTCCAGAAGGATTTCTTGTCTCTACAAATGAGTATTCTTTCATATTATCTGTTACTCCTTTATAATCAGGATCCTGCTTTATGCATCTGCCAAGTGAAAGGATATGTGCTTGCTTACGCATCAAAGCTGTGTTTTCTCGTACTGTTGATGGTTTCTTGCTGGAAACCTTTCTATTAGGAGTTCAAACCCCCCAATGAAAAGAGAAAGGACTTGAGAAATACTTCTGGATCCAAAAGTTTATTCAGGTTTATTAGCCTTAAAAAATATGTCTTGTTTCTAGACTGGCCAGTATATGTCACGTGTATGCTTATATGCCACATGTAGTCTGTGTGTGTAGAGCTGAACGGTAGAATCTGTATGATTTATTATTTCATGCACGCAGTTTGTGCAGCACTGTAAAACTAAATTCCTATTGGGGTTATTTCTTATTCAGATGGTAAATCTTAACACTGTTTCTTTAAGTCCAAAGAAAATTTTACACTTTACTGTTTTCGAGAAGGGGATAAGGGTTGGGTTTGGGGGGCTTTTTTCTTATTTAAAATGTTGTTTGACCGCAGTCCATGGGAAGTCTGCCTCGGGCTTCCAAAGAACAAGTGTACTTTTTTCAGTAATGTTATGACTCTTATTGACGATTGGCATGAAGCATACTTGAAGCATTATGTCGTTCTTATAAGTCCGTGTCTCAATGTGCAATTGTTGGGGGTGGGAGGAGTGTCTTTTAAGGTTACTTTCGACATCAGGCAGATGATGATGGGGAGGGAGGGCTTGCATGTGAGAGGGATTCACTTCAATTTTTATCAACATTTTTATATGAAAATGTTTGGAAACCTAAAAGCAATGTTAAGAACTTTTGATCTACTAGTGTGTATTCAACTTGCTATCTTATAGTTAATCTAGATACGTGTGGAATTTTGTCATTTTGACTTTTCTAACCTAATTTTGTGGTAAAACCTCTGAGCTTCAGGAGGGGAAGGATCTCTTTAAGGCTAGTCTGAATTTTGAATATTCCACTGTTTTTTAGAAATGGTGAAATAAGTCACTTTACCTATAAAATACTAGATAAGTTTTGTTGTACTTTGTGAATGGGGATAGAGGAAAACAGGAAGTAGGAAAATAAGCGTAAAGGGAGATGATAGCAATTACAATATAATGTTACTGCTGAATTTCCTACAAATCCTGGAACATCCTCAAAATCTTAAATTTTATAATTTGATGAAGTTGGGAGAGGGAAGAAAAAATATAGACTGCAGGGGTGTGTGCGTTTGTGAGTTTGTGTGTGCGTTTGTGTGTGCATGTTGTTTTTCCACAAAATTCTGATAGAATAAGAGCTACTTAAGTGTTGATGTTGTTTAAAAAACAAAACTACATTGGCTATTTTCATCTAATTTTGTATGCAGAAACAAAATAAATCCTTCTTCAATTAATTTCAAATAGTCATATTTATCTCAAAGAAAAATCATAAAATACCCTTCAAGGTCCATAACATTTATAAGCATTTATTTTGGGGAGCAGTTAAAACATTTTAGCAATAAATTTTTTGGCATTTTATTTAGCATAATTTCATTAGAAACAGCTTTATCTGAGAGAACTTGCATTAATCCGTTGAGATGACCAGATGGAAGTTAGCAGTAAGTGGCAGTATCTAAAAATCTTTTTGAGCATCAGTGGAGTACTGTAATTAGAGTAACAGTTGTACCCAGTAGTAAGGCTACTTTTATTCCTGGCACTAACTACACCTCAGGAAGTGGATATGCGAGTGGATAGGTAACTTTTAATATCTTACTAGAAGCTTGGGTCAATGGAAAGGCTTTACAAGAATTTCAATTTCATGTATGTTTGAAAGCCATCTTAGTCCAAGGTAAAGATAAAGAAGGGAGGAGGGGATGTAAACTGAACTGAGGAGAGTTCTTACAAGGTCCCACGCTGTCCTTTCAATGGTCTTTGGCCATAAGAAATAGTTGGTCACTTCTCATGGTTAATATGTCATGTTCATTGATTGGGTTTTTGAGGTTGAATGTGTTCTTTTAATTTCAAAAGCAAAGTACACATAATACTGTGCATTTGAAGTTCCCCAATATATTTTTATTAATATTTTTTTTCCTTGGGGGGAAAAAACTTAGAAGTTCTTGGGTTTTGTCCTAACCCGTTTGTTCTCTCCTGTTCTCACAATGGCATAAAGTATATTCACAATCTATTTCAGGTCGCTGGAAGGTTTAATATTGTCTTGACTTACTAGAAACTATATTAATGTTTTAAATCTCTTCAGCAGCCCATCAATTTCAAGTCCTGTTACTTACAGTTTGCAAAATAGATGGGAAAGTTGTAGAGAGGTTTGTAGAGAAACCTACCTTATTCAGTTATCAAACACATTATCTCACCATCAAGGCAGTGTCTAGGGAAGGATATTTGATTCCTTCATGCTGTAAGTCTTTGCTAATGCACATCATTTCTCATCTTTACCACTTGTATTTTAATGGCAGGCACTGTATCTTTTAGCAGGCACTTGTTTCAGTCTATATGGGGTCTTATTTACATGTTTGCTCAGTAGTCCACAGTTAGTGCAAAACTGGAGTCTATTTTGAACTTCTTTGGGATCCTGTTGTTTACTCAAGGCTGCTGTGAATGATCCGTAGTGAGATGACCTTGAGAAATTGTTTTTTAAATTGAAAAGACAAAGCTGCTGCTGTCTATGCTGTAAATACGTATTTTGGCATTCGTAGTACAATACACTGAAATGGAGGCTGACAGGCCTTTAGTCATAGCAAGAGCTAGCAGGCGTGTCAAAAATAAAGGGTACAGAACACTTTCCAGAGCTTAACAAGTGCAAGACATGTCTTCTGAGCCTCAGTAGTTTCCATAGTGGTTGAGCAGTGTGTGGTGTATGCCAGGAACCTATTCCATATAGTGTACATGGAAGATTTATTGCTGGGCATGAAAGGCTTAAAAATGGATGATGGGGACTATGACTCATATTTCTGCAGCGCTTTTGTGCTTAGGAGTTAATCAGTGCATTAACACAGCTAAACCAATGACAATTACAAGACCATCCCTTTGCCTGAGTGAGCAGAAAAATTTACGTGAAAGTGCAGTCATATAAGGGCCTTACAATTACTTGGGCAGCAAGAAATGCCATTGTGACTGGACAGGAAGGAGAACTATTACCACAATGACAACAATGCTGCTTTTCCTCTTCTTACTGAAGAGTAACGAAGTGAAAGAGGAAAGAAAAAGAAAATCCCTTAGTAGCTGAGCGTAATCCGTTGCATTAAGGGAGAGAATGCATTCTGGTGAGTGGTTAGACCTGCTGTAGGACACCATCACACAGTTTGCAGAATGGCCGCTTCTGTAGTTCACTGCTGTAACAACTGTGGTATTGTTGCTGACTTAGTGATGAGAGATAGATGTATTGTAGAATGGTACAAATATCTAAACTGTCTTATGGTTTGAGATGCTGATGTCTGTTTAACATTTACGTGAATATTACGTCTCATTTATATTGTGTTCTACCTCAGTCAAACTGATTTGTCAAAAAATGACAATCTTGCACTTTTCTTCATTAACTTTTAATTTCCCAGCCTGGACATTGAAATGCAGGCTTGTGAGTACAGCAGGAGGTCATCACTAGCATAATCTCCAGAGGTCCCTTCCAACCTAAACGATTCTGTGATTCTGTAATCTGGACTGGAAGTGTACCTTTTCTGAATGTTACATCAAAGGATCATGCGTTTTCATATGTTCCTTCAGAGAACTGATGCTATAAAACTGGTCCTTCCATTAATAAACGTTACCCTTGTCTTCTCTGTGAGTAAGGAATAAATGATTACCTTTCATCATTGTTCAATGAGAACAGAATTCAAGGTGTGTGTCCTGTTCAGGAAAAGGGGTTGTGAAGCTGTCAACTACACGGTTTTAGTAAGGCCTAGGAATAAAATGCATACATGCATGCAGAAGGGAAGGAAAAACATGCTAAAAACATTTTCTCTCTTCCTTCCCCCCCCGCCCCCCCAACTCCCCTCCCCAGCAATATGCCCTTCCAAATCCTTAAATGTCTAAAGGCTATCAGAGAGACTACATACAAACCATTAAGAAAGATACTGAAAAGATAAAACAAATGAGTTGTATTAAAAGTCTGGCTGTGCAAATAGTAAGGTTGTAATGCTGATATTGCTTTCAGTGCAGGGCAGACATTCCTAGCACATGTGGTTTGTGTATCTATGTCTGAGTGGGTGGTCTAGAAAATAGTGCTAAATGCAGCAAGATGGCTTAACTTTTGAGCAGTGGAGAGGGGGACCTTCAGGACAGGCTCAGCTAGCACGACCCAGGCTATCTGAAATAAAGCAGTTTTCTTTCAGCTTTGTTGAGCAGCTAAGCCTTCATTGTGCTTATTTACCAAATATCTGAATTCATCTTTGCAGCTGTTATCAGTTCTGCTGCAGAGTTTTAATGTTCATTTGGAGCAGGGTTAGAGTTAGAATGGGATTATCTTGCTGTTGTTACTTTCTTTGGGAAGGACATGCATGAGAGGATCGAAATGGAGTGAGGTGGTGATTTCTGCAGATAATACCCTCTAAAATGTTTTCCCTCAAAAAATGTCCTAAGTTTTGCTAGTGTCACTCATTTTTAGCGCACTGTATAATCAGAAGATGAATTAAGATGAAGCTTCTGTGAAAAAGTACACAGCGAAGATTAGGATGTGGCCTGACATTTTGCTGCATGACTGCAAGTGAGGGGAACAAGCAATTTACTACTATAGAAACGTGCAAGACTAAGACTATTTTAGCCTGCAGAGTGAGAGACTTCACAAGGGAAAGCATCTTTTGATTAAGGTACTGAATTAGTGTTTTTGAGTCTTTGATTATCTCTTTCCTCATTTTTGGAAATATGTTCTTGCCTTATCACAGGTGTTAGGAATGGGGGGCCAGGGCAGGCACTTCCTTCCTACTGTCTTACAGCTAGGAGACAGAACCACGCAGTGTCCTTTCTCTGAATGAACAACTTCAGTTTATGTGCAGGATTAGCCATAAAGTTATTTCCTTAGACACACTTTCTGTACACATTGGCAGATACAAAATTACTTTTAATTTCAGAGGGATAACTGTCCTCTCTGCATCTTTGCAATATCTTCCTTCCTTCCTGGTACAGATTCTTAAAATAGCTGACAAGAAAATATCAGGACTCAAGCTCTGCCCTTCTATCTTGTCAATGTGATGTATTAGATTTCTTACCAATTTTTTATGCCCTGAATGAACTCTGAATATACCGTTTCTTCTTCAAGAGTTGAAGCAAGGAGAGCAAAATTGGATCTGTTTTTCCTAGAAAAATGCATGCAAGTCCCATTGGGCTTTTGCAGTCCCTGTGGGAAGATCTTGGTATTTGGCCTTTCTCATGCATTTAGTGTCCAAGTGAGATAAAATGTTGCTTTGAGCATCCTGGCACCCTCTTGTAGACCTTATGTTACTGTTACTTTCAGAATAAGTGTTTTTTTTTTCTTTCTGGATATGAAGTTTTTCTCCAGGTACTCCAAGGCTGGTACTGATCTCCTACTAAAAGGAAATCTTAGAAGAAGATTTTTTACAATTCAGATATACTGACTTCCAGTCCAAAGCTGTAGATTTTTCACTAACTATATATTGCTGCTTTTGATATTAAGGCATATACTATGTTATCCTCTGACCTTCTGAGAAGTTTGATAAAATACTTTATGCCATTGCAGTAGGGGATCTCTCCTTAGCACCTATGAAAATTTCGCTCATACTATTTTGTGGGCCATCTCTGCTGGATGCCATTTTCCAGAATTCCCTCCATCTGGAAGTACCAATTTAACAAAGAGTTGTCTAGCAAACTGCAATCTTTTTCTGATGGGCAAATCTGACACTCAATCTAGTGGCAATGTTTTAGTTGTCTTCTCTAGAAGCAGACCTATTATTGCTGCTAAAGAATGCTCTTCACCTCATATGCCCATCTCATATTTGTTTCTTCGGTCTCTGGATGCTATATGTGCCAGCATTTGCCACATATTACTAGACTCTAGTGATTCTAGTTTGGAGGCCTGCTGCTTTTGCTTTTAAAACTGTGACAGTTAGTTGGTTCATATTGATGGACTGCGGTAGCTCAGAATAATGTCTGTCTTCTGTCTGGAACAAATGTCCTTGAACCTGACACCCTGGGTATTGGGTGCAACAAGACTAGCACAGCACCTTTAGCTCCAAAGCAAAGGCAAGAGTTATGATGAACCTTCAGGGAAGTGTGGAAGAGTTTGTTTTACCCAGATTGGTTAGCTATCCTTTTCATCTTTCTTGCCTTGCTTGGCTTTCCGTAACGAAATTTCACCCTGCCACCTGTGGAACTGTAGCTTAGGTTTATTGTAGTGCATTGGGAAAATTTTGGTCATTTGATCAATTCATGGCCAACGTAATCTACTCACATGGGCCATAAGATTTCTGAAAGAAACTCACTTGGTTGTCTTACCAGCTACTGAATGCCTCTTCTACATTATTAGTAGCTGAACTGGTGATCTGCCTTAGGAGACTAGTTTTTGCTCTTTTGGTGAAAAAAGGCTTTCTGATAGTCGTCAACTAGAAGATTAGACAGACAAATGTACAGAGAGTCTCCCATAAATGACTTTTTGTGAGAATCATTTGTCCTTAAATTTCACCCAAAATTACGTCCCATGAGAGTCTCCTGTTCTTCCACAGCAGTGCTGTGTCAATGTGCATCCTGGCTTTCTTCACAGAACTGTGCTTTACTGTAGATGAAGGGAAACTTCTGGGTGTCACTTGCTGGATATCTTATCTTTTGGTCTGAATAGGTTTCAGCATCTCAAGTGCATGCCTACATTTCTTGTGGTGTTTCCTAGCGCAATTAACAGCCCATATTGCTCCAGAAATTCTCTGCTGCATCTTAGACTTTATTAATACTTGATATGATTTGGCTAAGAAAGGTCCCCGTAGGCATTTTCAGACTTATTCCATTAGGGAGCAAAGAGTCTCTGTATCAAACAGTTGTGGAGCGTAACTTACATGGTGTCAGTTTATTAGCCATTCTCCAGTCCAGGCAGCCAGATCAGACAGTGGTTTTGCTAGGGCGCTCCTGCTATCTCTGGAGCAGTGTGTGCCCTTTCCCCGTAGCTTTCAATAGGAACGTGAAACTGTTTGTCAACAACCATGAGTGAAAGTCTAAATGTGCAATTGCTTGAGGAAAAAAGGCTATTTATCTCTTCGTAACAGTGATGCCATGGTGCAGTCACCTATATCCAAAAATCTGGTTGTGCTTTCATTATTCTGAAATGTACATTTAGTAAGATTTTTATTGGCAAAAGGGCATGGCTGACCTTCACCTTTCACTGCTCAGCTATCCAACACAAGAAAGTGTTGGACACTGGGAGGCGAACAAATCTGCTACTGTGTGAAATTTGCTGTTTTGCGTGTGTGCGCCTTTGCCCTCCAGCTTCTGCCCGGATCACACGTCTCAAGAGAGCTTTGCAGATGCAAAGCAATCTGCTGGTTAGTTCCACCACATATGCTGTATGATCTTCAACAAAGCACTACACAACTTTGCTGCTTCAGCTCTTCTGTAACAAGAGACTAGCACAATTTTCACCTGCCCCACTCCCCCTCTAGTTGTGAGATGGCTTTATACATCTGCAAGATATCACTTTATAGTTCTACAGTATCTAGTAAAATGAAAGTCCAATTTCTGCTAGGTCACCTAAGTTCTGCTGTAAATAACTAACAATGAGATTGCTAACAGTTGAATGATCTATGATCAACACAATAAGTGGCAAAAAATCCTGTTTGTTGTATGTGAGCTTTTGTCTTCAGAAAGGTAGCTGGCATTCCCGTTGATTTATGTTTATATTTGGTTTATTGCTGCACATTCAGTGAAGCAAAAACTATACCCAGCAATTTTATTGCTGGTTCAAGGTGAGGTTTTTATAGTTTTTCATAAATGTACTTACGGGGGATTTCATAAAATGAATAAAAAAAATAGATCTTATTCCATTTGTAAACATGAGAATTAAATGGGCTGTGTAGTACAGAAAATACTTGAAATCCAGAATAGATGTCTAAGGATTGTATGATGCTTGTAACAGATCAAAGATTAGGCATAATTTATTTGAAACAATCTTTTAAAACATACACGACATCATAATCCATTGCTGATGGTAATACCATCTTTGCACGAGAGTGTATTTTTAAACAATTTTTCTGCCTTCTGCTGGTGTTTGCAGCATGCTTCACTTGGTTCATTTACAGAATGTGCCTAACTTCAGGCATTACTGTTTGGTGAGTGATTTTAAAATGCCTGTTGAATGGTTTTGTGCTCGTGCTTTTTTATCTCCCAGGCTTGCGAAGACAGATACATGTGTTTTGCAGCCTGCCCTGCAAGAGTCCTATAGATGTCAGAGGCGTTTGTTTGCAGGATTAGGGTGTCAATGGAGCAATTATGCAGCAGCCCTCAGGATTAGAGCCAGACTTCTTGTGTACATAGAGAAAAGACTTAAGGTAAAAACCTATGATGGTCTTGAATCGCCGTGCCTGACTGGGCAGTGAGCCTTTTCAGCACTAGAGTCAACTTTCCAGTGGGTACTTTTTTGAAGAGAACAAATACAAAATCTGTCCTAACACAGTAACTGCCATGAAAGCTTGGACGGGTAATGATTTTTATTTTTGTATTACAGTAGCTTTGTCTATATATATTTTTTTTCTCTTTAAGAGAAATTTAACAAATAGTAACACAGCGTAGCCCCATATTACCTGTTCTTGTAGCAACTGACTGACCGTTCCTTCTGCATTTTC